GCTGAGGGAGCAAGAGGAGGGTCAAGAACTGGTCATTTCAATTTGGCAGCTTGTTGGCCATGGGTGACCTTGACAAGGGTAGCCCTGACTAGAATAGGTACCTGTGATGGTGAAGTGGAGACAGCAAGTACGCAGGGGTTTCAGAAGATTTTATTTTCTGTAGAAGGGGCAGTAGCTGGAGAAGGATGTTGTGTTAAGAGAGGATTGAGTAAAGGGAGAGAGGAAAACATTATAGCATATTTATAGGAAGGGGATTGTGAGGCAACAACTGTGGGACACAGTCCAGAGTAAATGAGAGGTGATGGGGCCCAGTGTCCAAGCAGAGAGGGGAGGTACCCAGGGCAGGGAAACCCCATCCACGTGACGGGGGAGGGCAGAGTGAATGGGCGCTTAAACCCCAACCAAGGCTGGCAGGTCTGCGGTCTGAGGTTGGCAGACTTGGTTGGGAGGAGGGGAGATACATTAGTGCTTGCCTATTGCTTCTACTTCCCAGAGGCATAAAACGCCTGGCTGTCAGCTGAAATGGAAGATTAGGAGAATTGTTGTTAGAGGTTTAGGGAAAGAGGAGAAGGCATGATACAGTCATCTGTGAGAATAGTGTTAAAGTGTTAGGAAAATTAAGAATACCCCAATTTGTGGTCAGAAGTTTCCATCAAAATCGTTCTGTCCTGTTGTACTATTCTCCAGGTGCTCTGGGACAGGTGCCGTGTGGAGAGGGGGGCTTAACTAGAGTTAGGGTCCTGTCTGGTGAGTAACTATAGGAGCACCACTGAAAGGCAAAGGAGTGGAGGATATCTACAAGTCAGCAAGTACATGGGGGCCCCTGGAGTCCAAGGTGGGAATGGAAAAGAGGGCTTGAAGGGAGTGACGAATGGGGAAATAGTGATGGGTCAATAGATGAGGCAGAAGGATTGCTAGAGTGGGAACCAGAGTGAGTGTGCCAGAGAGACAGGCGATGATGCCGCTCTTGGTGCAGAAAAGGTCTAGGGTGTGCGCACTCATGTGGGTCAGTTCAATGGGTGGAGAAAAAGATTGTTAGAAGCAAGGAAGTCAAGGAACCGAGAGGTCAAGGTGTTGGATGTGAAGGCATCAAGAATGATAATAAGTATCATAGTAAAGAGACACAATGAGCTGAGGGCTGAGGTGGTCCATGAATGAGAGGAAATCAAGAGGATAGCTAATTTGTAACTCAGACTCAACCCTCTCTGAAACCTGCTCCTCCCTTGGGTAAATGCACCACCACCCAGAGCCAGAAACTTGGGTGTCTTTGATTTCTGTAACTAACTGATCCTCACACCCAATCAACTCACCAGCTCTTTTTGATTTTATCTTGCAAACATTTCTGAAATCCAGCCACTTCTTTTCATCCCTGCTGCGCACACCCTACTTTACACTATCGTTGTTTCTCACTTGGATTATCAGTGTCGGATTCCAAAGAGGCAGCCCGGCTCTGGCTCCTTCCTCTGCGCTGTAACCACAGACACCACAAATTGTGTCATGTTACTCTTATGCTAAATCTCTCCGGGACTTTCCATTGTCCATAGAATCAAGTCCAAAAGCATTAACAGGGTTTTACAAAGAAAGCACTACGTGATGTAGCCTCTGTCTACTTCAGCCCGACCCCTCACCTGGTTTACTCTCCCTTTCTAGGCCTTTCATGGGCTACCCCTTCTGCCTGGAGTCCCCTCCCTCCTTTGCTTGGCAAAATCCTCCTCTTTCCCTAGGTGTCAGCTTAAGAAGTCTCAGGGAACCTTTTCTTCGACGCCTGGTGTTGGATCCACCTTCCCCCTCTCCCAGGACCCCCTGCTTCCCAGCACACCATGAGTTTAGCAGATGTTTTCCTCATGGAATGGAAGCTCCATGAAGTCAGGGACTGTGTCTGATTGTTCTCAGACGAATCCTCAGCATCTAGCCCGGGGCTTATCACATAAAAGTGAACAATCAATATTTGTCGATTTGAAGCAAATGGAAGATTCGAGAAGGGGAGCAGTTCTGGGTGAAGACAAAGTCCGGGGTGTGGTCCTGTGAGTGGGCAGCTAAATGGAGAGGAGGAGGCCGCCATGAAAGAAGAGGAGTGCATGGAATGAAAAGGACAGAGTGACACAGAGGTGGCTGCCCTGGCCCCGCGAATACGGGAAGATTCTGAGTCAGGTGCTCAGGTCTCCAAGGAATGAGAAGTAGGTGGCAACAAAGGGATCCGGCAGAAGGGGAAGAGAAAGATGGCAGGGGCCTAAGCTGAGCAAAGAGTTTTCAAGGCGGTGGAGGTCGAAAGGTCTGAGAATGGTCCCGCGGGCAGGGTGGGGGTCCTGAGAGTGTGGGCGGGGCTGAGAATGAGTGGGATGAGGGAAATGTTTCCTGGAGGATTATCCAGCTCCCTCCAGGGCCCCCTGGCTGGTCAGACAGCGTTCAGTCTTTGTCTGGCTCGATGGCTCAGGACTCCAGACCTCTGGGAATAGCGCATCTGAAGAGGACTGCCGCGAGAGTATTCAGGGCCTGGGGTGCTCTCGCCCTGGAGTGGGGGATCTAGGATCTTAGAGGGAGCTGACTCTGGCTGGTCCACCGGCCCACACGTGGGAGCTACCTTGGTCTGAGCAGCGTGGGGTCATCTGGTTCTGCACTGGTTGTTCTCTGGGAGTGGAGGCAACGTTGCCCTTGGTTCCTGGAGTTGCATAGATGGCATAGATGCATAGATAAGCCCACATCCTCCTTTCTGGGGGACACCCGTTCCCCAGCTGCTGTGAATGTTCATCACTCATGGCTTATAGCTGCCCCTGGAGAACTGATCCTGAGTGGGTGGGAGCCACCAGCTCCTTCCTGCCTGCCCCACTGTTTTCGGGGTGGCCTGAAACCAATGACTGACTGATTTGGGAGTTTCAAAGCCTGATGCCCTTGCATCCAGAGGGACATCTCTATGGTGGGGTTTATTATCCAAAGGCCCTTCCTCCCATGGAGCTCAGGCCAAGGCCGAGTTTCCCTGAGCCCACGCTCTGCCCCTTCCCTATCCTGCTTCCCTTTGCTCCTTCCTTCACATGCACACGCATTCCTGCTGCTGGCTCTGCTTCCAGGGACCCTGACCTATGACAGGGTGACTCTCTGATCTTGTCCCATAATCAGAGGTGAACATGGAAGCTCTCCATGGACCGCGGGGGCCGCAGTCCCCACAGACTTAACCCATCTGTGTGGATTTGGGAGGTCCCCTCACCTTAGGCCAAAGTTTCCTCACCTATAAATAAGACCTTTAGGCTGGACTTAGTTAATAAAACAACAACAAAACATACATACAAACAAATAGAGAGAAAACACTTTGCTGAATTCCCTGTGCTAGGTGTGGTGGACAATTCAGATCAACAAGGCTCAGCCCCCTCCGCCAAGCAGCTCACAGCCTATTTACTCAGTTAACAAGCATTTATTGAGGGCAGCCAGGCCCCGATGACTCAGCGTCCTGCCCTGCCCTGCCCTGCCCGTGAAGGGCTTCCCGGCTGATGGGGAGAAACAACCACTCTGATTTGGTGGGAATAACAGAGGCACGAGCAAGGCTGGTACATGGAGAAGGTGGCTAAGGTTGTCCCTGGGGTCCTAGCAGGGGCCCAGGGGTGGGAGGAAGGGCATTTCAGGCAGAGGGAACAGCATGTCTGTAGGCACGTGGCACGACACAGCAGGATGTGTCTGGTTGGGGAACGATGAGCCCTTTGGTAGGATGAGTGGGTACAAGGAGGGAGGAAGCAGAAGGTGAGATTGGGGAGGGCAGAGGGGTCCAGGTTTGGGCAGTGAAGGGTGGTGGTAGCAGAAGAATTTTCAATGCAGAAGGAACAACGTAGTCAGATTCGTATGTAGAAAAACCATCCTGTCCTTATAGTAGAGGGCAGACGGGAGGGGCCCCAGGAGATGTCCAAACTGTGGGGTGGGAGAGGGGGGGCAGACTCAGGAGGCATCTGAGGGGCTGGGCTTGGGGGGGGTTGCTGCTGCACTGGGATGAGGGGTACAGAGGGCTGGGCGACAAGGAGGTCGGGCCAGCTCCTGGCTTGGACAGCCGGGTGGATAGCAGTGCCATTCACGGGGCGGGGCGCGATCTGTGAGGAGGGCAGGTTTGGGGGCTGCTGGGCGGGAGATGCCGGGGGCCTCCTGGAGGGTGGTCCGTGGACAGCTGGTGGGGGCGCTGGGACTCAGGCAGGTCCAGGCTAGAGGTGCGGTTTGGGACTTGCCAAGGTCTGAGTGATGGGGTGAGCGTGGGGGAGGATGAGGGAATGTGTATCCAGTAAAGAGAAGGAAAATTCCTCAAACCTGAGAACCCACGAGGGACCCTTTGACTCAGACACTCTCCATGGGCCCCTGGCTTATGGGGACATGCCTCCTAGCCACCCTGGTGCACGCTCATCCTGGACTTGTGCTCAGCACCCTCCCACCTCCACTGGGCCTTTGCCTCCCACCCTCAGAGGGCGCTCACCCACCAGTGACTTCCGTTGGGCAGGGTCAGGGAGGCCCGGAGGGGGCAGGCAGGGGCCGCCTCAGCATGTTGCTTCCTAAGCAACCCTCGCTGAGAACTGACACAGGTCTCCCGGGGTCCCTCTCCTGCCTTGGCCAGGTGGTTGCAGAGTCTAGAAACCCCTAGAGCAGCCTCTGGCTTTGGGTACTCCCCATCACAGCCCAGGGCACACTCTGTGTGTGTGAGTGTGAGTGTGAGTGCGCGCGCGTGTGTATGGTGTGATGGGTGAAACAGGATTTGACGTTCTGGGCCTCAGGTGCTCAGGGTGGTCCATTGTACACCCCCGGCTTTCCTACCCCTCATTCCCCACCTTATCATCAAAGTACTGAGAAAATCATATTTATTAAAGTTTTTTGACATACCGTATTACCACATATAAAATCCTTGCCATTGAACCACCTTCCCCTGGGGCTCAGGACCCTGAGAAAGAACTGTTCCCCAGTACTGGCCCCTGAATAGGCTTCCTGAGCACCACAGCCACTTTCCTTACATGCTCTGCTGCAGAAAGTGCCACTGCCCTGCTCTGGCCTTAGGGAGCAGGTAGGGGACATGGTGGTCCAGTTGCCAGCCTCATAGGTCATGGATACCCACCTGCATCCACCGAGGCTGAGCTGGCCTTCATTAGGACCGAGTTCCCATCTTGGGGGTGCTCCACCTGGGAGAGGGCATATGGTGGGCATGAATCACGCAGGCGACTCTGGCGCCGAGACCACTGGCGCTTGGAGCTAAAAATCTCCAGGCACCTCTTGCTCACCAGGTAGATGACCTCACTGAGGTTGAGCAGGATGCAGATCACGGCTGTGGCCACCATAAAGTAGGTGAAGACCTTCTTCTCCGTGGGTCGGGAGATGTAGCAGTCCACTGTGTGGGGGCAGGGCGACTCGGAGCAGGCCACCACGCGGGGCATGTCGTAATGCCCCTGGTACAGGATGTGGAAGGCGTAGAGAAAGCCAGAGTCCACGGCAGCCTTAAAGACGAGACTCAGCAAGTATGTCCACCAGAGCCCGCCCCGCTTTTTGTTTGGGTTGTCATACAGGGCCGGGGCGTTGGGTCCATGTTTCTGGCGGTACCTCCGTTCTCGCTCCTCGCGGTAGGCCACGTGCATGACCACCAGCAGCGAGGGGCATGTGACCAGGATGAGCTGCAGGGCCCAGAGGCGCACATGGGACACGGGGAAGAACTCGTCGTAGCAGACGTTGGGGCAGCCCGGCTGCTTGGTGTTGCAGACGAAGTCCTTCTGTTCATCGTCCCACACGTCCTCAGCTGCCACCACAAACACCAGGACCCGGAAGATGAACACCACGGACAGCCAGATGCGGCCCAGCGCCGTGGAGTACTTGTTGACCCCACTCAGGAGGCCTTGCAGGGATGCCCAGTTCATGGTGGTGGCTCCTCACGTGGGCAGCGTACGCCGGTGTGCGCCCACTCAGGCCTGGGGGCCACGAGGCCGGGGAGAACCTGGAAATGGGTGTCCTTTAGTAAAAGTGTGATTGGCAAAACCACTTCCCAACCACTGTGTCATCATGCCTTTATCCCCAATGCCTTGGTGGGGAAGAGGTTGCCATTTTTTCAGTTCTACCCGGGGGTGAGCTAAGGCCCAGAGAGGCACCTGCCAAGGCCCCACAGCTGGCAGTGGCAGAGCTGGTCTTGAGCTTCTGTCTTTCAGTTCCAAAATCAGGGAATATTTTATTCTATAAAGTTATAGACACATGTGAAGAATAATTATTCTGCATGGGTGTGCCTGCCAATCTCTTTGATGCTAAGTTTTAGCCCTGTGGGTCACCGACTTCTAAAGAAGTGGTAAGAAGGTGTGGATTGAATGATCCACTCCCATTGGCCACCAGGCCTGGACCAGCGTAGGAAGGGAGGGGCGTGTGTCTTTGTCCTCCAGTTTCCCCCATCTTTTCTGAGTGCCCGCGAGAGCCAGGCCCTGAACTGGGTGCGTCCACATCAGCCTCTTAGGCAGACGCCTAAGTGCTGTCTATTCTCATTCCTCCTCTCTGGCCCCAGGACATCCCCTTCTTGACTTTCCTTCCCAAACCAAACAGACTCTCTCCTCGGAACCGCGTGGGCTGGTATCCTCCTGCCCGACTCCTCTCAACCGCCTGCCATGGGTGCCGGTTATGGTCACTGACTGTCCTGACCGCAGTGGGTTCCTCTGGAATTCCAAACATCCTGGCTTTGGGGAGGGACCAGGGCAGCGTGAGAGGCAGAATTCTGGCTCTGACATGGTCCTTCCCCCATTCACTTTTCTCCCAGGGACACCCCCCTTTCTGTTTGCTCAGTGGCTGTTTGCCAGTCAGATCTATCCTTTCCATTCAGGCCCCTGTCGTGTGCGCTCTCTCCACCACACCCCCTACCTGGAGAGCCGTCCTGGTCCATCTCGGACCCAGGCCCCTCTTCTGTCCCTGACTCGATCTCAGCATCTTCAGGCCTTGTGCCCTTGGGGCATTTTTCTGAGCAACTTCCTCCTCCTTCCATGCATCACTGATACTCCAGTCGTCTGTTTCCCCGTCTTCTGTGCCCGACTGCGAGCTTCTGGAAGGCAGCCCCTTGGCTCATCCCCTGTTTCCCCGGCACTCAGCCCTGGGCGTGGCCCACTTAGCACACCAGAGCTGTTTGCTATATGGAATCAAAACCTCGCATCTCCTGATCCTTCCTCTTTCTGTCTCTTCTCTGGTCCTCTGACCTCCGTTCAGTCTGGAAGGACATTCCTTCCCCCCTTTGGAACTTCCCTGGGTTTTTTCCCCCCAGTGATCGCAGTGGGGGTTCTCAGCCTTTCTGGTCCCTGCTTCCCAGCCCAGCCTCCTGCCCAATCTGATCCTCACCTTTCTTGGGTCCAGCAGCCTCCCTCTGGTCCCTGGTCTGGTCTGTCTGTTTGAGGGCCTCCCAAAGGCAGCTTTTGTTCTTTACTTCCCTGCTGGGTGGGGCTTTCTGAGCCAATGAGCCAAGGAGAGTGAGCGGGTGGGCAGGCTGGCGGGCGGACTTCCCCGGGCACATATTCAGAGCAAACACCTGCGGCTCTTCTCTCCTGGCCTACGCCTTCTCTCTAGCTGGGCATGGCCAGGCCTGGCTCCCTGGTCTGGCAGGTATGTGGGTGAAACTGCAGTGAAGGGGGGGCAGGACCCTGGAGCCCTCATTCCCCAGGCCCAGGTCAGCAACAATGGCATTGCCTCTGTCCCCTTCCCTCTGTGCTATTGCCCTCTGATGCCCTGTCCCTGACTTTTTCTCTGGAAGCCTGGTTCTGAAGCCCTCAGCAGCTGACATGTATGGAAAGGAGCAATCTTGATTCAGCCCAGGGTCACAGCCCACCTGGTGGGGACCTTTCTGGTTGCTTATGAGCTGTATAGGGGATAGGAGGGGCTGACTATGGTTCTTTTAGACAAGGGAACCCCACTGCCCTGATGGAGACAAGGTCGGCAGCATGAAACGCCCCAGGCGGCAGGGGGCCAGGCACAGCCTCACTGTTCGTCCTCTGTGGGCCCGGCTCTCTGGGGCAGGCCTCCGGGGAGGTCAGAGTGTGACTCAGGGGGTGCTGCAGAGGGGCCTTGGGGCGGTGAAGGTTAATGTGTAGCCAGGGAGGGACTCCTCGGCCTCATTTCCCACAAGCATTTCTCTAGCTCTTCCTAACACCAATGATTAACATTTATGTGGCTTTTCACAGCCGGCTAACCCCGTCCACAGCCATGAGCTCACCAGGTCCTCGCTACAGCCCCACAGACTCAGTATTAACCCATTTTAGAGAGGGACTGAAGTCACTCTCCCAGAGACCCAGGGGATCTTGGACTTGGGCAGGCGTTCAAACTCAAAGTCCATGGACTCTCTGCTGCCAAATGCTATTCCCCAGGTACTAAGACCCATAGTTTTTGCAGACAACCCACAGGCCTAAATTGCAACCGAGGATAAAGGCATGAGCAGGCCACATGACCCCGGGAGTGCTGGGGACCCTTTATGGAGGAGAGGATGCCCCTCACCCTGCTGGACCAAGTACAATCCTCTGCAGGGCAGAGAGAGTGACCCGATGACCTGCTAAGGGTCACAAAGGCTGAAGGACAGAAGGGCACCTTGAATCAGTAGAGGAGTTAACATTTTCTTTTTTTAAATCCTCACCCGAGAACATTTTTTAAAAAGTTTTTATTTATTTAGAGAGAGAGGAAGGGATGGAGAAAGAGAGGGAGAGAAACACTGATGTGCTACGTCAATCAGTTGCCTCTTGCACACTCCCAGCTGGGGGCCTAGCCTGCAACCCAGGCATGTGCCCCTACCAGGAATTGACTGGGCGACATTCTGGTTCGCAGGCTGGCACTCAATCCACTAAGTCACACAAACCAGGGCTTGAGAACACTTTTTCATTGCTTTTAGAGAAAGAGGAAAGGAGGAAGGGAGGGAGGAAGGGAGAAGAGAAACATCAGTGCAAGAGAGAAGCATTGATTGGTTTCCTCCCATTGGTGTGCCCGGACCAGGGGTTGTATGAGCCTGGACTGGGGATCGAACCCACAACCTCAGTATGTGCCCTGACGGGGAATTGAACCCTTCAGATATGGGACAACATTCCAACCAACTGAGCCACACCAGCCAGTGCTGGAGGAGTTGACTTTTAGTAACTCTGACCATGGGTTCCACACATAAGTTGCTTACACATCTGTTCTCTAATTAAACTCCTTCTCATAGCAACAACCCTATGAGGCAGACCTCACCATCTCCATTTTACACAAATGGAAACTGAGGTGCCCAAGGCCACACAGTTGGGGCAGGTGGCAGGCGCTTCCCGCCCCTAAGACTGCACCCGTGAGAGATGCCAGGCCTTCCCAACCCAGGCCTGCCCCGTCGGCTCAGGGCAGGGGCCCTCACACAATGGTTCTCTTCATGTAGTTTTGAGGGCGTTCTGGTAAGAGAGGGGGGTGAGTGTCTGAGCCCAGAAAAATGAGGTCTCCTGAGAGGAGATCGTCCTGTTTGCAGGAAGAGACGCAGGTGGCCCTGGCTTTCCTTGCTGCCAGGCCCTCGCGGCACCTCTTGATCACCAGGTAAGCCAGCTCCACGAGGTTGAGCAGGATGCAAACGGCGGCCGTGATGACCATAAAGAGAGTGAAGATGTTCTTCTCTGAGGGCTTGGAGATGAAGCAGTCCACCGTGTTGGGACACGGAGCCTCGTGGCACTTGACCACAGCGGGGAGGGTGTATTTGGGGTAGAATGAGTGGAACACATAAAGGAAGACAACGTCTACACTGGCCTTGAACACCAGGCTGCAGACATACGTCCACCAGAGCCCACCTCGCTTCTTGCCGGGGTTTGGGTAGAGGCGCCCACCATACTCCCCCACTGCCTCTTGGTGCTTCTTCTCCCGAGCCTCCCGGTAGGCCACGTGCATGACCACCAGCAGCGAGGGGCACGTGACTAGGATGAGCTGCAGGGCCCAGAGGCGCACATGGGACACGGGGAAGAACTCATCGAAGCAGACGTTGGAGCAGCCTGGCTGGCGGGTGTTGCAGTCAAAATCCTTGCGGTCATCACTCCACACACGCTCAGCAGTCACCAGGTACACCAGCACTCGGAAGATGAAGACGAGGGACAGCCAGATGCGCCCGAAGGCTGTGGAGTACTTGTTGACCCCGCTTAGGAGCCCCTCGAAGATCGTCCAGTTCATGGTGGACCCAGGAGTTGGCTGCAGCTGCAGGGGAATGATAATAATTTCCTACATTTATAAAGTACTCACTCAACATTTTATAGAAACGTGTCATCGTATTTAATCCTCACAGCTACAGAGGAGCTAGGTTCTATCATTGAACCCATTTTACAGATGGAGAAAACTGAGGTATAGAGGGCCTTTACAAGGTTACCCAGCTATTAGGTGCAGAGCTGGGATTTGAGCATAAGTAGTTAAGTCCAGAACCCAACTCTTACCCATACAGCGGGTGAAGGCAGGTCCAGGGACCCACTCTTTCCTCCCAGGGCCTGTGGCTCTGGTCTTGCAGTCCTGCAGAGTGCAGGCTTAATGAGGTCGAACATTCTGCCTTCTGCCTCCTGCCTCTGTTTCCACCCTGGCCCTCCTCCTCTGGGGGCTGCGCCTTGGGAAGACTTCTTTCCTTTCTGCATATTGCTCTTTCCCCTTAGCTCCTCCCAAGAGGAATTCGCTCTTTGCTTTTTCTTAATATTGAGGATGGGGTTGGAGAGGCTGGAAAGTTATCCCCAAACTCCCACCTGGTCTAACCCTCAGTTAAACTATCCACACAGTGTCCTGCTCAGGTGTGGCTCACTTGAAGCAAAGCCAATGGCAATCCAGCTGAAAGATAACATAGAGGGCAATGGTTCTCCCTATACAATAAACTTTCTAGAGTAATGAAAGTTTACCTCATTACTCTATCTGGTAATGCCTGGTGATGCAGTGTTTCCCAGACTGGTGTTCCATGGAGTCCTATTCTATAGGCTGGCTATAGTAGTGAGAGAAAAAGAATCCATGTTCAAAAAAGGTAGGCAAACATTGTGTTTGGCAAAGTTAAATAGGTCTCTTTACTTGACCGTGCTAATGACTTTACATTGTGAATCTCCAAAAGGGGAGGCAGAATATGTAGTATTGTCCAAACTCCTTTGACCACAGAACCCATTGTCATCATTGTGTGGGAGAGCTTTGTCAAGACACCAACATGGGAGATGCTACTTTCATTACTTCTGCTGGTGAATTCACTGTGCTAAACACACGAGAATCAGATTTACTTCCATTTAAGGAATGTGACTGCTTTTCAGAGTTGGGGTGCCCACTTCCTCTCTTGGAATTTCTCTGGCTGGTTCTTAGGGGGAAAAGACCCATTCATCAGTCCCTCACTGCTGGGCCCCCAGGACCGGAGGGAGTCTGTCTACACAGCTTCTTGCTTTCAGGCATTCCTGATGCCCTTCTGACTGCTGGTCCCATCTGAAGGTCACTGCGCTGTCCTGACCCCCTGCAGCAGTTGAGCAGGGTAGAGGCAAGAGCCAATACTTGTTGGGCGTTTATGCAGTGCCAGGCACTGTTCTGAGAGCTTTGCATGAATCAGTACAGCAGCAACTGTAGAAAAGGGTGTGATATTTTTTATTCCCAATTTACAGATGAGGAAAGTGGAGCACAAGGGGTTAATTAATGCGCTCACAGTCATAGAGCTAGTAAGCATAAGGGCTGGGATTTGAACTCAGGCAAGCTAGCTCCAGAACCCACACTCTGGGCCTGGGCATCTGTTCTGTGCCCACTCCCTCCTATAGCAGGCGGGTCTTGGCTGAGGGAGGCTAGGGAGGCTGTCTCTGCTCCCTACCCTATCTACACCGCCCTTCACTTGGACGTGGGATCCTGCTCTGAATCATCAGCGCGTCTTTGCTCAGTCCTGCCTAAGGTGGGTGGACTCCTGGCAGCTTCTCAGGGAACAATCAGGGAGGCTCCAGCTCTCAGTTCCCAGGGGTCTAGGCCCAGCCCACCTGGGGTGGGGCAGCGTGGGGCTGAGCAGGCCCGGGCAGAGCGGCTCTGCCTGTGCAGCTCCACTTTCCCCTGTGAGTGCCCTTCTATTCAGTCCCTGGCGTCCACCTCTGCTCAGCAGGGGAGAGTGGAAAAAACTCAGAACAGTGGAGGGAGGAGCCCTGTATTCCTCCACCATCAGGACTCAGGGTAGCGGATGTGTCCAAGCCACCTCCTTCCACTTCCCCTCTCCACCGGAGACGTTTCCCTCTCTCAGGTGTACCAATGGACAGAGTTCATTTAGAGAGAGATGACCTTACCTGAGTGGCTACTCCTCAGGGCTCTCTGGGTGCTGGCTCCTGACAGCTGGCAGTGGGCTTAGCAGGCACCTGGAACTCATGTCCAAACCAGAGAGGGTGTTTGGGGAAGCCCGATCCTGGGACAGAGCTTGCAAGTGAGCCTCAGCCTGGGCGTGTCACTGGCCTAGGAAGAGGAGGAGCTGCACTGAGCACGACCATTGGCTGGGCCCCGGCCTTCCCAGACTGCTTCTGATGCCCCAGGAAGCTTGGGAGTTCCCTCCTCACTGGGGTGCTGGGCCCGGAATCCTGGCATCCTCTCAGGGGAGAACCACAGGTCCACTCTGACTGCCTGCTTGTCCTCCTATCCCTGGCCTTGTGTGGGAGAAATCCAAATTCCTGAAATTCCAGAAACTCCCCATGGCTGCCTCTTAGCGCTCTCTGCCCTCCAGGCTCTCCTCTCTCCCTGGTCCCTTCTCGGTTGTCTTCCATTCTTAGGGCTTCCGTTACCTTTGGAAATGCCCAGAGTCCCAGCTTCTCTCCCCAGCCTAAATGCCTTTGCTCCATCTATTGCCCCCACTTGGATACCTTTCTCTTACTCTTCTCCTTACTGGCCTACTCCTCCAAGAAGCCTTCCCTGACTGTATCACTGCAGGTGGCTTGGTGTCCCATCTCTGGGTTTCCACCGCCTTGAGCTTCCACATCACCGTTAGATTGTATTGGCATAACTGACCTTAACTGAGCTTGTTCCAGGTTGGACACTTCTGTTGAATGAACAAGTCAATCCGCACCAATGGGCTTTTTTTTTTTTAGGGGATTGTTGTGGGCATAGAGTGGACCAGTCCCTGACCTGTAGGAACTCACCAACTTGGGCTTGATTACCAGCTCGTAAGTTTAATACCAGCTGTACAGCTTCTCATGATGGCACAGAGGTCACGGAACAGCCTCCCCATGTCCCACCATCCTGTTGCTGCTAGACTCTAGCTCTGACTTTGCACCCCAACACTGGATGCACAGTGATTTTCACAGAGAACTACCCTCTCTCCTGCATACGCAGCCCCGCCCCTCCCCAGAATATGCATACCAAGCCCCTCCCCAAACCCTGCATGGATGACTGTCCTTCCCCCGCTACGGGGCTGCTCCTTACTTCCAACACCACATACACTGGCCTTTCCACTAACCTTTGTTTTAAATTCAAGAATCATCTCTGGGACACTGCTCTGTGCCAGGTGCTGTGTTTAGTTCCGGGCTACACAGATAAAGAGAGGATCAGAGGAGGCTGGGGGGGGTCCCCCAGGTACACAGGTGAGGGGTCCAAAGTCACACTCATGAAGTAAGAAAGGCCTTGAGGGTAAGCTCCAGGGGGAAGAGGCTGAACCGTACAAGCCTTGCCCAGAGAAGGTGCCTCTTGTTTGATTGGGAAGGCATTTCAGGGAACTTCCTTAAGGCAGGGGACCCCTGTGCATCGGGCCCAACAGCCTGCCTCTGCCGTCTCATGCTGCTGGATGCGAATCTCGCCTCTGTTGCTTTTAGATCTGGGCAATCGCCCTGTTTCTCTGCTGTGAACGAGGCCTGTTGTGCCCGCGAGGGGTGTCCTGAGAAGACGCGGAGCGTGACGCAGTACAGCCTTGTCGGGCTGGCGTCGGGTCGCCCCGGCCAGCGGAGGAGCAGCGCGAGGACAGTGCCTGGCACAGAGGAAAGCCTTCCTATGACTGCCCCTGGTGTATGTAACCTGTCCACACACCGCTGACACATGGTGGGTACTCACAAAACCAGACCTTCTCCCCGTTTCCCTGTTCCTATGCCTTGTCTTGCTGAGATGTCAGGTGGCAGAGAAGGGAGGGGGAGACAAATGTACTCACCAGAGAAAATATCACGTGGATGGATATTGTCTTTGGGTTAAAAAGGTAAAACCCGGGCGAGACATTGACTGTTGGACAGGTGGGGAGGGCGGGCAGGGGGCGCCCAGGGAGAGTTTCTCATGAGCGTATAGACACGGCCTTTTGGCCCAATTAACTCTAAGATGCCCTTTATCTGCAGGACACACGAGGCCAGAATTCAATGGACAGTGTGTCTAAGAGTCACAAACACCACAGGTCCCCAGCACGCATAGTGCAATCCCACATGTGTGCACTCCTGGACGCAGGCCACCCTACGGGCACCGTGTTGCACACACGGGGGCAGTGCCTTGTTTTGTTCTCTGCTGTACCCCCGGTGCCTAGAATGGGGCCTGGTAGCAAGTCAGGTCTCCATTTGTGTTTACAGAATGAAATATGTGTGAAATGCACGGACCCTACAAAGAGAGTCACACACATCTATTCCCCCTGTACATTCTTCCCAAAACACTATTACCAAGTACCAGAGAGAGAAAACATATGAATGGATCAGGTATGGCATTGTGAGAGGTGTTATAAGAGACGTAACACAGGGAAGGGAGTGTCAAGGTCTGCGAGAGTGAGACCCAGACAAGGTGACACTGAAGCTGGGTCTTGAAGGCCTGTAGGCGATCACCAAGAGGAGTCAGGGAGAGGTCTTTGCAGTGGAGGGCACAGAGGGCCTCTGTGAAAGACAATCAAAAAGCTTTTGGCAGGGAGGCTTGTTGGGGTGAAATGGGGGCACCAAAAGACAAGGTGTCTAGAAGGTCAGCAAGGACCGTCTTGACCATGAAGACCTGGAGCTCTATGCTAAGGAGTTCGGGTTTATCTTGCATGCAGAGGGAGGCCTGGGGGAACAGTCAGATCGGTACAGTCGATTCTGTTATTCATGGTAGTTATGTTGTGTAAAGTCACGACAAGCACTGCATTAGGAAATACTGAAGCTGTGCCTGGGGGAGAAATACAGGGTTAGGTTCTTACGAGCCTCTGTTTGCAACATTTTCATCAACTGAACAATATATAACCATGTTTTATGTGTGTTTCTATTTCATGACACCTTATTTAATATAC